GATGATGATGATGATGATGATGATGATGATGAAGAAGAAGAAGATAATGATGATCTGATGATAATGAAGGTCACGAAAAGAAGATGAAGAAGAAAAAAACAAGTAGAAGAAGAAGAAAAAGAAGATGATGAAGATGGAGAAGAAAAACATGAAGAAAAAGAAGAAGCAGAGAGATGAAGCAGAGAGATGAAAGATTGTAAGATCATACAATCAGTATTATTCGATTATAAGATAAAGGCGCCATACTTGATTCAGAGTGACAAATCCAACCAAAATAGGACTGATGAACCCAGCTGTTGTCCCCAAGGTGTTACACAGCCCCATAATGACTCCTGCACATCGAGGTGCTATGTCAAGCATATTGACCGTGTAGGCAGGATACGATAAGGATGTCGATGCTCCTGATATTGCCATACACACTACAACAACTGCAACACTATTTGTATATCCAGCAATGAGTATGAACGCTCCTGTACTTAACGTTCCTGTTAAAACAAATGGTTGTCAATTAGAGACCGTTTGTATGAAGGTCTAGTGCTCTAGTCCAGGGCTGACCAATTGCTTATCCGGTAGATTCTAGTGAGCATGTGAGCTCCTCACCCATTGTAGCAGGACAACTAATTCCTTAACTAATTCATTTTTCTCCCTACACCACTATATAAACCCCGCCATCATTCTCTTTCTCTCATTGACTCCGATGAAGGACTAACGTCTGAAACGTGAGTCTACTATCTTTCGTACCTACGGTGATAAAATTATCTACTACGACACATTTGATTCAACTAAAAAACACCGACGCAGTCCAAACTAGTTCCAAAACTAGTCGTCATCTACTAATTTATTAACTAGGCTGACATACAGAGGATGCTCTGTAAGCCTATTACATTTACTCAACCATCTTTCTTCCAATTACATGCATTTAAGGCAAATTTGGTTTTAAAAGGATACAATGCTATTTTGACACTTTTCTTGCAGCAATTCCTCTTCCCTGGATATCCTGTATCCCCCTCCTCCCGAAGTAAAGCCTCTTATTAGTTTTCATACCTACGGCATAGAAGCATCGTCGTACAGTTTTGGTGCTCCAGGTATATTTTCTTAGTAAGTCAGCAGAGAGACCTGCGACGGGTGTGCAGATTCCTTTTACCAGGAACGGTGCAGCGGCCATAAAACCCATCTGTTGGGAACACACACCAACACAAAAAAGGAAGTTGATAATCAGCAGAAGAGTCACGCTCGAAAGCCTTCGAAAATGGATTAGAACAGGAACTTTGGCCTCTGTATCAGTGTATTGACGGAATTCTAATTCTAATTCTAATAATTATCCTTGTTTTGGGAGAGAAAAAAAAAACCTAGCCTGCGTGTAACAAAGCTGTGGTCCTCGTTCCATAAACGCGATTTTTGCTTGTAAAGGAAAACCGGAGAACCCGAAAAAAATAACCCTTGACGAACAGCAGAGAATCAATAAACAACTCTAATTAGATGTGATTGCGAGTCCGAACTTACGACCGTAACGTTGAGTGGAGGCGCATTAGGAACACACGTATCACACGTGGTCCATACAATCTGATTTCTGAAGTTCAAAGACTCATTGTAAGAATTACCGATTGTGTGTACTCTTGTGCCTGCCTAATCCTAATTACTAACTATTTACTGTAATTATTCATGGTTGCTTATTTACATACCTTGTGAATTTCGGTGTCAAAAACTTCGACCAGAAATTTCGGGATGGAAATGAGTAAAACATAGAAAGCCCAGTCCAACGAGAAGTTAGCTGCAACAATTGCCCAGACCGGAAGTGACTTCAGAATACTCATCCATGGAACGTTTACTTTGCCAACCTAAAAAGGAAGTCTGAATAAATTAAGGAGGCTCGAAACGTCTTTTGCTTTAGTCTAGAGGTTGTAGTTTGCATCGTAATTTAATCTAAGGGATTTGATGGCGGGCAGCCATGTCATAGGGCATAAAAACTGAGAGTTTCGCTTTTGGAGAATGAAATAATATCTTTTGGTGCAATAATAAAGTATTGCATCGTGGCTAATCAACCCTTACTCAATCCAAACTGGTTAGAGCTGCTCCGGGGTCATACATGGACTGTATAGCGGCTGCCAGGGGCGTCTTTACATGCTTTCAGTTCGACCCCGTTGAGCTGCGCCACTGCTGTACTTGAGATTGTGAATAGCGATAACGCGTTTTTATTGTATACTGCCATGACTCTCTATGCCAAGTGATGCTATGAAAAGTGATCAGGTATTTTTGACGAGTGTAAGTTTTAATGTTCCTCAAGATGATCTTTCTTCGGACTAGGGGTCTATGAAATCTTCAATATCATTCTCAAGAGAATGACATGCTAAAGTAATGGGAACAAGTGGTGTAGAAGATGCCTGCCTTGTTTAAATCCTTGTCGTTGTGTGAAAGCAGCTCTCGTTCCTCAACAGACATGCTAGGGTGTTGTTCTGGTGTCTCGTGAACAAAAAGGAGCCATACCATATACCATAGCAGACCAAAAACGCCTGGAAAGTAATATAACAAACTTTTCAACCACGGCCCGGTTGTACAAAGGGTAGATAGCACTTTCCGACGGATGTTGGATATAAGCATCAACTTATCCACTGGATAGGGTTTTATCCACCGAATAGCGCTATCCAGCCTTTACACAGCCAGGCCCAGTACCTTTTTTAACGCGTAAAGAACCTAAGAACAGCACGGTTTCTTATCGAAAAAGTCATTTGCAGGCTTTTTTCTGATATTACGCAATGTTCCCTGCAAGATGTCTGTTAACTTTGTTGCAGGACAAATTGCACAAGAGATTACCTGGTTCAACACACTGGTCAAAACGTGTCTCACATTCATTTTCAGAGGGGGTTGCAATAGTTCCGTGAAGTAGATCGAGATTTCAACAATTTTGAAACATTGTCTATAGTAACAAAGACACACTTCTACCTCCTACAGCTTGGTTGCGAGGAACATTGCCCGAAGTAACATCTCTATCCGATGCAACTGCAACTATTTTTTTGGCAATTGCCCAGTGCATCATCTCTATTCTATGCGACTGCTACTATTTTTTAGGTAATTGCCAGATGTAAAATCTCTTTTCGATGCAACTGCAACTATTTTTGATTGCACAACAAATTGCATGTTAAAAGGACATTTCCTAATGTAGCGACCCATTTGCAGAATTACTCACCAAAGCAGTAAAAAACAGAGCCCCATCCTCCATCGAAGCCATATTTTGTCAAGAGACCAGTTATTGGCATGGTCATCAAATAACCAACACTTGTTCCTAAGCAACAAGAAGTCCAACAGATTAAACAAGGACATCGAAGAAGCAGAAAAAAACATCATGATCAATAGTCCCTTCCACAGTTCCCTGCGCCATCTTGAAAGTTTGCCGTGTCGAAGTCTCAGAGCTTTCAACTGTGAGCTTGCAATGATATAGATATATTTTTTCAATATTGCAATATCATTGCAAGTTCACCGTCCGTCTCGCTTCGACGCAAAGGCACGGCTATCTTTCAAGATGGCGCAGGGAACTGTAAAGGAGACTCATATTGAGCCCTGGAACAATCTTTGGGTTTAAGTCGACCTATGCACGGCTGATAGCATTTCTTTATAAGACAATAATTTAGATGAAAACGGGTTTATGTTTTGGCACCTGCGACTGAAACTGTAACGAGAGTGGTCCTTTCTGCCGGTGGCGCCCAGTGGCTCCATATTGCATGATTACAGGGAAATAATACACCCTACAAAAACACAGAATACACGATTGTGATTAGCAAGGTGAAGAGTAGGACTAGAGGTGGGTGGGAAAATAACAGCAGAAAATTGAGAGAAAGAGGAGGAAAGAATTGAAGAGAGGGTGAGAGAGGAGAGGGGGAGGGGGAGACGGAGACGGTGACGGTGACGGAGACGGAGACGGAGACGCAGGCGCAGGCGCAGACGCAGAAGGAGACGGAGACGCAGACGGAGACGGAGATAGGCCAAAGAGGGACAGAAAGAGAGAGACAGAGCGATAGAGACGGAGAGAGAAAACATAATTTATTGGAGCTCGATCGAGCTACTTTTCTTACCAGTGCAAGCCCCTCTCCAACTCTCATTATGATCAAACCAATAGGCGAACATCGCGCAGCGAATGGAGAGAGAAGAGTAAGGATAGAAGCGATGCCAATGCCAAAACCGAACAGCCTGGCACCTCCTACACGCATCGCTAGCAGACCACCTGGTATCTGGAAGACCATGTATCCCCAGTAGAACGATCCTAACACTATGCCTGTGAGATAGGGGTTAGTGAGGGGTTAGTACATCACCTAGTTATACACTTGATGATCTAGGTGGAGTCTAGTCATTCCTTAGGGCATTAGAAGCTATGCTTGCATGGTGATGTATCAAGGCAATTTGATATGGTATAGCCACTATTCCAATAGAAAGGATTTCGCAGTTTATTCTAAACCACCTACAGTGAACATCATTCGACAAGGCTGCCACTTTTATTCCCTTGGGAATTACTCCAAAACACATATTATTCGGCAAGATAGTCATCTTGTTCAGGGTCATTTTGGTCATTTTTGGTCAATACTACCAACATGGCGGCGATGACGTGCAAATAGAACATCACGCAACATGATTGAATGAATATAAAAACATACCTTGCATTTTGGAATCCCAGTCAAATTCTGCAGGCTAAAAAATAATTTGATAAATGGTGAAGATTAATTCGTTATTTTGCGAAATCCAACATGCTATGCGATTTGTGAGCTAGCTGTATTCTGACTTAGATCAGCAAAAGGTTGTTTCAGGGTTCGATCTGTGAGTTAGCCGTGCCCTGACTATGATCAGCCCAGAGGTTGTTTCAGGGTTCTATCTGTGAGTTAGCCATGCCCTGACTTAGATCAGCCCAGAGGTTGTTTCAGGGTTCGATCTGTGAGTT